AGTGCTGCTGAGTTCCTGCAGACAAGGAGATGCTGAGGGGTGGGGTCCAGTGCCTATGATACGGTTGGGGCCACATAAATGACCTGTGGGGTGAGATCAAGGATGTCTGTCAAATTAACTGTGCAATATGAAAGAGATATAGACAGGTTGTGTGGAGTTCAATAGTGGCTTCCTATCACCATCATTCTTCCAGTCATTAAGTTGTGCTGTGCTTTTAGATTGGTAGACTTATTGATAAGAAGTTGCATATAAAAACGTCTCCATAATTGATTTACTTTTTTCTCGAGATTAAGTTACGTGGACCAAATATATTTCCATAATTTGGTAAAGTAGGATAAATGGTGACAGAATATTTCCTTTGTATATAATGATGATTCCATCCCCAGTATCTGTGAGACATGCTGCTTAGAGGCTCCAGAGATTTTAAGTGAAAAGCAACAGGACTTGATGTAGAAGACTTGTTGCCTTTCATCTTCCTTAATTGTGACTGATTTGTGGGCAGTATGCCTGAAACAAACTCATTCATTACTGTTGTGTCATATGACATCATCTGAAAAGTGTTTACAACTTTCTTAAGAGCCACACTTGAGGTGGCTAAAGAGTCTGCTGTCACAGAAATGGGCTAAATGAGGTAATCACATGGAGATTATGGAGGACAGGCTCTCCTCAAAGGTGCTGCACTTGAAAAAAAGGCAAAGTAGTTGTGTGAAGAATGAAAAAAGGGACCTTAAGAGAAAGTCTTGCTTCCTAGACTATCAGTCTTAGAAAATTACCAAAAATATTTCAGATAGCGTAAAATAATCCTATAAGAAATAAAATTAAGACATACTGAACCCTTCCAAATTATAAAACCACTGTTTGGTTGTACGCACCTTGAAAAAAGTGTTTTTGGAGGGCCAACTCTTTTAAGTCAGCTCTCAAAGGACAATGGACACTCAGAGATGTGCGAGCATGGTCAGACAATGCAGATGGTTTAGAAGAGCAGTGGAGGATGCCATGTATGTTGAACTAGACTTGAGCGATAGAGGGGTCAAGGATGGTTCAAGGTTCCTTCAAAGGCAGTTGAAGATCCATTTATATCTTCACTTATGAGACTGTAAAAACTCCTACAAGTCTGCCCTTTGACAGTAAAGGTCTGAAAGGGCCGGGTTATACTAATAAATTATTATTTTCTATAACCTATTATCTGATCACATCAGAGGCCAAAGGGGTTAGTAGTTTTTGTGAGTGACACAAAACTGGGATAATAAGATGAACAGCATTGGTGGAGGCAAGGTCTGATGAATTGTTTAAGTATAGAGATAACAAACTTCTACTTGACAGTCTCTCCTCCTGGGAGTGTTGTGAACATATGAGTGCAACTCTATTATCAGTCTCTCACATCAAGAAATAGCTGAGAGAATTAACAAATGATAGCTGGAAAGAGAAGTTCCAACCCTGCTAACTTTCCCAGCTTCACAACACTTACTGAAATTAGTGTGTGTGAAACCATGGGTTTTTGGAAAATTGTGGAAAGGTGTGGGAGAGGAAGTTTCAAACACTGTTCATCTGGACCTTATGATAAAGCATCAACTTTCACATCCTGGTCAATTGGCCCAAAGAGTCTGTACACTTGCTTATCAGCTTGTCCCACAAAACTTGAAACCCCCGCACCTACACCTTTCCAACAACAGAATTAAGCAGGCTACATCCAACAGTTTCCTGAAACTAAAGATGATCTGACAAGCAACTCCTGCAACTTTTATCAGTGTTCTGTCGTACAAGCAAGTGCACCATTGTGAAAGCTTTTGAGTAGAGACTACACATGTTTGCCTGCTTCTAACCCTGGGCTCCGCAAATGTGCATATGTACAAAACTCTGCAATTACATCATTTCAGACCTGAGACAAGCCTCCAAATATTCCAAGCATTGTGGTGTGCCGATCGATGTATCGCCAGTGATGATTTGTAGTCCTGACCCTATCACTTCTTCCAAAACATAGCTGTACTAAAAGAGTTTCAACTGAGAACCATCACATCCTGCTTCCCCTGTTTTATTCTTCTAGAGCACCTGTGTACTGCTGTGGAGATTTCCACAGTACCCAAGAATAGAATGCAGGTGATGCAAGTATGTCCACGTTAAGTGTTATGGACAGTGTACACGCACAGAGGAAATTGCCCAAACTATCCCAAGAGCTTGACTATTACATGTGTCAAGGTCAATTGTGCGAACGACTCTATGAGGTTTGATTCCTTGGCTCTCAACAGTCAGTCTGAAGTGAGGAAGCCTTTCCGATTAGAGGTAAAAATGTCTTTAAGAAATCTGCAGCAAGTTGACAGCAGTCGGCTTTGATTTAGCATTCCAGGGTTATTTGATTTACACATTTTGTGATGAATGACGTTTGAGACTGTTCAGGCAAGCCAGAGATAAAGGAGCTAGTGATCAGGAGCCCTTTTTACACATCCTTTTTAAGGCAGAAAAGTTGGACATCGCTGTTCCACCTTTTATCTGGCAGGGAAGGTTGTCACTGAATATAATCTGTGTAAAGATGAGAGCCAGCATTGGGGAACATGTCCTCTGATTACAGAACTCTGACATGCTATCTCAACCTGGGTGGCAGTAAGCAGGCTTTGTTTGGTTCAGTGTTAACAAGCTATGGCGGCATAGTGAGGGGTCTTTTTAACAGCAATATAGTGGGATCTTAAGAGGCTAAAGGGGCAAGGGAGTTTTGGTTTGAGCCTCAAAAGCAGGGTGTGTTCGGGGGCCTTAAACCAAGCGCTTAACCCCAAAAGCAATCCAGCAGCATGTGCAGGTCGGGGGTTGTTATGTTTGTTTGAGTGAAGAGACAAATGCCAATGAAAATTGAATTGTTGCTGAAAGTTATCCTACCTCTAAACGTGAATGACGCTGATTGAAGAATAATGTTGTGACCATCCAACCCTCTGATCACCTGTTAGTCAGCTCAATTAAAAGTGACGGAAACAAGAAGAGGGAAATTCAGGGGCAAAGCTGCAGGGACTTCAGAGGGACGCTCTGTGGATGTTACACTTCCAAACCTCCCCCTTCCTTCCCTCAGTGGCAGAAGTATTACTTTGTGTTATAGTTGTGGTAAATGAAGCTATTTTAAATACTGTAATGACAAAGAAATAATATATATGTATTTTAACAGCTGTTTTCATCTTTCTCAGTGAGTTTTATGCTGTATTAAAAAAAATAGAACCCTGTATTTAAAATGAAATTTAAAAAACTGCAGATTATGTCTAAATGTTTTATAAAAGATAAGTTTAGATTTTGTAAAAGATGTGATATTTTGTGTGATTTGTCTACACTGTTCTAAAATGAGAAATTGAATGTACTGTGACTGCCAACAGGCACAAAATTGATTGAATAATTGATTAATGAATCAATATATGAGCTATTAAAATTATGGAACACCCACCTGTTCAAAGTCTTCTTCTTACATAGTTCATTTTAACATTATTAGATGATATGATCGTTGAAGGATACAGTGCAAATGCAAATGTACAATTACCTGGATGAACAGTAGATGGGGCTATTTGACAACTGCATTTTAATCACCAGACGTTTGAGTTCAGCTGTGTTTACTTTTAAAAGACAGAGACTTGTGGTTGCCCCAACTGCAACAACGCAAGTAACTGAACAGAATTAACCTCATTCCATTTTATTGCATTTGACTAAAACTATTATAAATTTAACTATATGATGAATACATATGATGATAAATTAAAAAAAGAGTGCTGGGAAAGGGAACACAATCACAAGGATGTTATACATGGTCTCAAATACAGCAATACATTTATAAATATATGATATCCTCAATATGAAACTGTTCCTGTGAAAATGTATGAGACAAATGAAAACAGAATAACAGTAAAATTGATAAGATTTTAGCAACTTCAAACAATACATGTCTTTAAAGGTTCGATTTTAGACCTTTTAAAAAAACTCAGCTCAACCCCTTAGAAAGTGAATATTTAATGACAATTTAATCAAGCAATGAACACTAAAATATTTCCTCACCTACACACACAAAGCAAATAAAAAATAAGACTTTAAAAATATGACAAGCTTTTCAATTTTTTTTTATATATTCATCTCTATTTTTGTCGACCTACTGTTGGCGATGCATTAAAAAACGCCAGTGTGTTTGACTTTGATGACGCATACGCACAAATGCAGCACAGTGGACTGACAGCAGAATGCTTTCATATCAGTGGGCTAATGCCTAATTGATTTCCTATAGACAGATGCAGGCCTCAGAAGGGTCATTGATACTCCACACTGAAACACACTGGGGGTTTATCACCACTGGCTACTTCACTTAAATACAGGATTTTAAAAGGTGTTACTGCCTCTTATTAGACAAAATGTTGCACAGAGCTGAGTGACAGGAAATGATGAGAGATACCAATTTAAAATACAAACAGGACCTTTTATTGTAGTTCTAAAGCAACATCCCTGACTAAATAAACACGGATAAAACAGTTTCATTTTACTTACTTACAAACCTAAAATGATGGTAGAATAATTTTGATAAATGGAAACATGCGTTCATTCGTTCCCTGCATATTTAAAATTCTCAAACTCATAACATTCCTCTGCAACATTAAAGGCCTTGCCATCAAGCTCAGGGGAGCCAACTCATCCAGTTTGTAAATCCCAATCTCAGGTTTTTGACTTGCAATTGTACAATAATAATCGCTTGTGTATAAATTACTACATTATAACATTATACAATGTGTAATAAACATAAAGATAAATATCGAGCAACCTGGTAATCTCGTGTTATTTAACATAAACACTCTCTGCTGATATGATATTGAAATTGATGTTCAGAAACAGATCCGAAACAGGGCGGGACCTCGGGGACATCAACCAATCAGCGGCACGTCCGCGTCAGCAGGAGATAACTGGCACAACTGGACAGTGTCGGTGTGAGTGACTTCCTCCGCTGGTTGTTTCTCTTGGTCTCAGTGTGGATGAGTCAGTGTGTGTGTGTGTGCAGCTCCTCTCAGGACCGACATGAAGCTGCTGGACGAGCGCATCTGCTCGCTGTTTAAACGTCACTGGAGGCACACTCTCACCTACTGGAGCGTGTTCTTCAGCTTCGGCCTGTGCATCGCCTTCCTGGGACCCACGATCCTGGACCTGAGGTGTCAGACCCAGTCCACCCTGCAGCAGATCACCTGGGTCTTCTTCTCCCAGCAGTTCTTCCTGCTGGTGGGCGCCAGCGTGGGGGGACTCTTCAAGAAAACGTGAGTGTGGTTGGGGAGCAGTGATGGGATGATGCTCCACACACCATGTTGTTTTCTATCATAAAGTCATGGTGAACAGGGCAAATGGTACAAAACGAAACATATTCACAACAACACTTGAAACACTGGTATCATTACTTATGTTTCTGTGTTTATACCTGAGTAGAGTTGTCCGATACTAGAATTTCACACTCGATACCCAGGAAAATACTTGATACTTTTTTTTAATTAAAGATTAGAACAATAAAAACTAACATTAACATCAAAGTTTCTGTCGCTGGTTGACTTTTCTCGGCTTCAATCTGGGATTTTAAGAGAAACACAACACTTTTCAGACACAAAAAATTGTTGATAACTAAACAGATGGCTAATGTGGCTGTCAGCTAATTGCAAATAAGGATAAACGGATAATGATAACGAGTGCCGCAGACAGGTTAACGTTTGTAACTGTTTAATACTTCAATGTTGTTGAAACAGGAACTTTACTGACCTCTCAAAAGCCTTTCCCTGGTCATTTGCCTCGCATACAAAATTTGCTTTTGGTTGCAAAGACCCTTAAGTATCACTTAGTATCTGATTTATTTCTACAACCTGAGTTAAAATTGTAGTGTACTCTCACACTGTGTCTGATTTGCCTCCATTCAGCACATCAAGGTCATGTCCTCACAAATATTTCTGTGAATTGAATTAAATTTCATCTGTCTTGAGTCGACAGTCCTGCCTTTGCGGCTGAAGAATTAAAGTGTACGAACGTTGAACATTATATTGACCGCATCATTCATCATTGAGGTTTTACCCTGTGACAGTCAGACTGAATTCTTGATTTGACTATCAAATATGTAACATTCAAAATGCAAACAGTTGTTTCAGGTCTGTGCTGAACCTCACACACTGAGCAGCCACTCAACCTGAGGTGTAAATGTGAGTGTGTGAGGTGGATGGGGGACATGATTTAAAAAAACTCTATTTCACAGACGGGTTGATGCTTAATTCTTCAAATGTCATATTCAACTCCCAGCTAAATAAGCATAAGCTGGGAGTTGAATATGACAATGCAAGTTTTACAATAGTTGATTAAAACTCCCAAAAACATTATTTGAAGATCGGAATGATGTGGTTCGGTATCATGTGTCTCTTAAGCACATTCCTCACACCCACTAACATCTGGCTTTTGCAATGCAAATGGACACATCTGTATTCGCTTCCAGTTCAACTGCTTTAGAAACAGGTTTTTATCAGCTCCATTTGTCAGTGATGAAAACCCTGTTGACCATGCTCATTTCTTGTTTCTTCTCCCTGTTCTTCTTGTTCTTGTTCTATTTTCTTTATCGATCTTGTTGATCTTTTCTATCCATAAAATGTGTTTTGTTTTTATCTCTGCCTTGCGAGGTGACCCTGAGTACTGTGAAAGGCGCCTATAAATAAAATATATTATCATTCTTCTTCTTCTTCAGTTTGAAGGTAGATGTTGATGCAACATTTTTTCTTTGCAATGCAGTGACCAGAAAATAAACTTCTGGTTGTCAGCACGTAAAGAACCATCAATATGTACTTATTGTTTTTAAAATCTTGGGAAGAATTGTTTGCAAAACACCTCAGTTTCTGTTTGTGACACTGGACATGTCCGACTGGGGGAACTACAAAGAGGTTACACAACATGAAAACATTACATAATACCTCAGTTCATTATTTTCACATGCTTACCATGGATCTTTATCCTGTGATGATTACTGACTAGTCTGTTTTATAAGCCTTCATCACAGACTGATCAGTGTTTTGAACAAACTAAAAGTTATGTAGGACAAGGTTAAAGTTGGAAAGTTGGCAGGAAAGAATGGGGAATACAAGGTGAAGATAACATTGTGGTGAATTGAGGCAGGTAAATAAAAGTTAGAGCAGCAGCAGAGCATCAAGGTGACTTTACTGCAATAACAAGAAAAAGGCTGAAATCAGTCTGGACTGAGCTGAGTCACTTCAATACAACAGGGTTCCAAAGTAAAGGTCTAGAAAATGATGAGTATGGAGTCATTTAAAAAGAAATACCATATATTTGCACTGAGTCTGTTTTAGTCTGTATCGTCTGAATATGATGTTTAAAGCCGTGGCTGTTGTCTCCTCCAGATTGCTGTCCTCTCTGACCGCTCTCCTGTCCTGCACGCTCATCATCTCGTTCGTGTTTGCCATCATACCGCTATGTCACCACGTGGTGCTGTTGGCCATCACCATGGCGTTTGCTGGCAAAGCCATGGGGGTGATTGACACCATCGCCAACTGGCAGCTGGTGAAGCTGTATGAGAAGGATTCAGCCGTCTTCCTGCAGGTCAGAGGAGGCGGGGGAGGGGAGAGGACGGGTGTGAACGCCTGTGTGTTTGTCTCCGTTCTGGGCTATATTTTCAATTGAGGCTGAATATGGTACTGTGACTGTATTGTATTGGGACCAATACAAAAACATTTGGGCAGCCCTTTAAGTCAATACTTGGATCTTGGCGTCTCTCTCCACAGGCTTTGCATTTCTTCATAGGCCTGGGAGCACTTGTCAGTCCCCTGGTGGCTGATCCGTTCCTGGCAGATGACAACTGCGTTCTTGTGGCCAACCTGACCTCCAACTCTTCCTCATCATCGGACCTTCAGCACCTCCGCAACAGTCTCTCCGGCCATGCAACGACACCGCACAACATCTCCCAGTATCCTCTGTACACTGAGGGTGTCGTCATCACCAGGGTGTCCTATGCTTTCTGGATCATGGCTCTTATCAATGTGAGTTCAGGACACTACTACATGAGACACATGAGTGATGTTGACCAGGACTTATATACGATGCACACTAGTGTATTTGATTCTGTCTAATATATTGACTCAATGGTCTATTGCTTGTTGATGATGACAGAGACTTTTGTTGAGCCAGTTGAAGCCGTGTGATGTAGCTGCGTGATTTGTGTAAGAGGAAAGATAACACTACATTAAGCCCAGAGTCTCTTCTTCTAGGGCTGTAAGTTTTTCCAAAAACACACAATTCATTTGAAAATAGTCAAATACCTCACGCATGCAGTCAGAATAGGCTGAACACTTGACCTTGCTCCGTTCGTCTGTGGTGCCTCCTCTGCTGCTGCAAACAGGTGAACACACAGAGTTGTTATGAGGCAGTTACATGTTACAAAGACGACAAACAGTCGCACCATGATAATCATTTTTCCATCTACAGTGTTGAGTGCTTCTACTTCCCTCTCACGTGCATGCTTTAAGTCACAGGTAAATAAGAACTGATAAATTAAATAAATGTTGATCTTGGTTAACTTGCTGAAGTCAAACGCTGAAGAAAGTGAAGAACCTTGTCAGTGAGCTCTTGCAACAAAATAGTGTGGAGAAAAGCCGGTGTCCTCAGAATAACATTATTCTCATCATCATTGGAGGATGTTCTCCTCTGTCTATGTAAGAACACAAATTGAAAATCTCTGTTAGAAATAATGTAAAATGAATTGTTAACTAAGTCAAATTATTTTTTCTGCCTGTTCGAATGTTCCTACTTATATTACTGTATAGGTTCTGTAGAGTTCACCCACCAATGATTCTTTTTCCCATGATGCTTTGCAGTTGCACAGCAACATGCTACTGGTTCTACAGTGATTTGTTGATAATAGAGTAATAATGCTGTAAAAACCATATAAACCTGCAACAGTGTGTAAGTCTCCAGAGGCAGAGCTGTCCTGTTCTTTTTCAACTGGAGCTGCTCCAAACAGAGAGCAGGATGAGACCGCGTGGACTCAACTAGTATGAGAGGAGGTTCACAAACAGAATCAACTGACAGGAAGTGTTGACTGCTCAGTTACTTAACAAAAGATTCTCTGTGTGTTCTGCCAGCTCCCTGTCCCTGCAGCAGTGCTCGCTCTCATGTACCACGAGAGATTGCTGCCGTGCTTCAACACCAGTCCACCGCTGCTGGATAAGGACTCGCTAGCAAGAGTCCCCACCCAGGACAGTGGTGAAGGTAAAGGATGTATGTATTTGTGTGTGTGCTTGTTACCATACTATTCAAATGAAGTTACAAATCTCTCAGTATCCCTGTTCCCCCAGAACACGTGCGTTGGTTTGGTTGCTGCAACCCTGCTAAACTCCGGGGACGCCCTGCTACTTTCTTCGTCATACATGCTCTGGGCGGAGCCATCCTCTTCCTCACCGATGGGATCGTAGTGAGTTTTAAGGCCAACATTACACACATTAAACTGAGGCTGCAGGGGGGGTGCATGAGAACTGTGAGACATGGGGCAGAAACAATGGAAAGGTTACTGTAGCTATGAAGTCGCTCACATAAGACTAAATGCTACAGCTTGTGTCACAAATAACACTTTTTAAAGTCAGAACTCAGTCTGACCATTTTCACATGTGAACTCCAGACAATGTCCTGAGAATTAAGTCGAGACATTGTGTGGAGTTGGCCTTTCACAGACACACAACAGGAAATTGTCCATCCAGTTCCCCTGCTGGAAATGCTGCACTTTGTTGAGTCGTGTTGAGCTGGAAAGAGACAGGACATGACACAAAATGTTTGCTGCAGAATTTCACATCAAACAACAGTCTGTTGCTATTCTTTGAATTTTTGGATGATTTTGGCATTGACCCAATCAACTAAATCTCCCAAATCTAATTTTCTTTGTTGACCTCTCTGTATAAATGATCTGTGTTTCTTGGCTTGCAGGGCTCATACGCTGGTTTCATCTACACCTACGCCATCTCCCCTCCTCTGCTGATGGGTCATAAGACTGCTGGCTGCCTGGACAGTGTATTTTGGGCCTCCATCACAGCAGGAAGACTGGTTTTCATCTACCTGTCCTACAGATTCACAGCACCCAAGCTGCTCACCTTCAGTCTGGTACGAGCACACATCGAAAGCACAAATCAAACTTGAAATCAAGACTGGAAATTACAGTCCAGTGAGAAAAAAATTCAACAGGCAGACATCAAACCTGACTGGATTATAGAAAAAAATGGAGGAATGAACAGAAATATGAACAAAAATAAATTGCATTTCTGACAGATTATTGTCTAAGTACAGTAGGTATAGAGTAAAACATCTGGAACTAAAGACCAAACTAAACTGCTTTGACATCTTCAGCACTCTAAGGACCCAGTCACACCTGGGGGTAACATCTTAGATGATCCTGATCCAATCCCAAGTGGAGCTCTGTGGCTTTGTCAGGATTTATATGTTTTTGTTTCAGTGTGCCAACTTTACTAGATTCATACATGATGTCCACACTTATCCAGAGATTTTCAAGACTTTACAACAGGACAACTTTAGTTCAGGTCTGTTCCTGATTGGGTCTTTTTAAAGTGAGGTATGATTACTTACCCTAACCCTCAGTCCAAGCAAGAACAAGTCTCTGGTTACTTTGCGTAATTCGGAGAACTTTATATAACAAAGCCACCAATTGCAGAGTAGACATTCTGCTTCCTGTTTACACTGACCCAGTGTATGTAACTGGTCACATGACTTATGTTTTCAGGGGCACATTCAATCTAAAAAAGGTTTTTGCACCATTTTCTTTGGTTTCTGGTCTGAAATATAGATTTGAACTCTCCTGAGACTGTCAGATACAGGATTGTTAACTGTAGTCAAAGTTTTAAAGTAAAAGAACTCATTTGACTGATTATTATATTACTTTATTAAGTTCTACATCATTAGATCGTTAATACTAATGCAGTTGTTTAATCCGCAGATGGAGCTAGAGTAAAATACATTTCAAACAGTTTTATACACAGACACATAAGATATTGTGAGAGCTTGTTTTTCTCTTTGATTTGTGGTGTGTTTTTTGATGATTAAAGCATTTGAGAGCTCAACTCAGACATTTGAAAAAACTAAATAGCTTTTTCAGTAGTAGAAACAGTTTGAAACGCACTGGTTTAGTCTGAAACAATGTGTTTTAATAGCTTGTTATATCATCTTTTGTCTAATATCTTAATTTTGAACAAAACTTTAATTAAACTAAAGCTGTCAAATAATAAATACATATTTGAGATTTACAGTATTTGCGACATTGTGTAGTGTAAACTGTCCAGTCTGCAGAAGTGGCGTAATCATATATCTCTTGCGGCGCAGAGATGAACTGGATGTGCTTCTGTTAACTAGGCAACAAAATAGACTTTTTTATTTTATTATTAAAATATCAAGCAACTAGCAACATGTGGAGACCATATCTAGACTAATGCCAACCCCCTCCCCACACACACTGTGAGTCTGGCTAAGTCTGGCTCCTTCTTTTGGACACTTGTCAGTTCAGAGACAAGGTACACGTAGTAAATCGGTTCTTGTGATATCATTTTAAGTTTTTGTCTTATCAAAAATCTAAGTTTCTGTGTTGCGCACCTGCAGATTAGCCTCCTGAAATAGTTCAGTTTAGAGAGCGTCAAAGTGAAGCTTTAAAGTAGCCTGGTTCCTTCATGGGTTTCTGCAGCCAATTTGTTGTCTTTGTCAATTTCAACAGAAGCAGTGCTAACATTTCAGAAGTTTTGTGATATAATCTGGGTTCAGTTCTGGGTTTCGGCAGCTCGTGGACACATTTCCAATCAGACCTTAATGAAATGAGATAAGCCCTGTAAAGTTTGTGGAAAGTTGTTTCTGAAATTTTAGTAGATGTTGAGATGCTTTTCACCCGATGGCCACCACATTACATGGTGGCCCTTAGCTGCAAAGGACAGCAAGGGCAACACTCCTGTATCAACAACCTCAAGTACAATAGGCAGGAAGAGAAAACAAAACCTTTTTATAAACAGAGTGTTCATACTATCAAGGACAGTTATCCTTACATGTACCACGTGGCTCCTTCTGCTGTGGCTGCAACAGCCAGACAAAAAGGAGGGGGACACACTTCATCTTTGTCTCTCTCACGTTGCCTTTAGGTCCAATAAGTACAAAGTAAAGGAAGGTGCTTTATTAGTAGCCAAACAGTATTCCAAATGAAATACAGTATGTACCTCCCCTGTCTTCTGAAATGTTTACTAACAGGTTTTTGTGATTGGGCCCATGTAGCCTCCATAACCACAGTTTAGCATACAGAAATAGCTCAGTTGGCAGAGTTAAACTAAAGGTCCTTGGTTCAATCCTTGGTTTAGACATTCCTTGATATACAGATATAAAATAGAAAGTGCTCTGTTGTGCCTGTTGTGGAAACCATATCTACACAGTGTAGCCTCCATAACTGCAGTATCGCACGCTAAAATAGCTCAGTTTGGAGAGCGTTGAATTGAAGAGCTCAAGATCCCTCGTTTACTTCTTGGTTTCGGCAGCCAATCAGATGTGTTTCTCAAATTTAGCAGAAGTGATGCCAACATTACTGTTGTGCCTTTAAGTATCGAGATATCTTTGCTCAAGACGTCCTGTGTTTCGCACGGTGTAATCTCCATATCACTTCAGTTTCACATGCTGAAAAAGCTCCGTTGGGAGAGTGTTAGGCTGAAGAGCTGAAGGACCCTGATTCAATCCTGGGTTTTGGCAGCTGGTGAGCTGTCCTTGATATATGACCTTGTTCTCTAGGGTTGTCAGTATTTAAAGAGAATATCAAAAGAAATGCAGTTTTGTGAATGCACAGACTTTTTGTTTGTGGGCATTGTCTCACTCTCAGTCTCTCTGTTCATCTTGCAGGTGGGAGTCATACTGGTGCAGTGCCTGTTGATGATCTTCTACACAAGCTGTGTGTTTCTCTTCATCGGTACTTGTTTGTTGGGACTGTGCATTAGCAGCGTGTTTCCCTCCATGCTTGCTTTTACAGAGGACATATTGGACTACAAAGGTAAAAAACAGACAGATACACAAGTACACTCAACATATCAGTATCAACTCATCTCAGAAGTCACATGCTGTATATGCAGAATAGGGCTTAAAATGCTTAATTAACACACATCTAAATGTACTTCTATAAATGGAAGTTGAAATTGCTTGACAAATACGCTCTGAAAATAAGAAAGAAAGAAAGAAAGAAAAATAAATCATTAATTTAAAACATTTATTTATCTACTGTCACCGCTTATCTGAGCTCGGGTCACAGAGATATCTGGCCAAGTGGGTTCCAGACATCCCTCTCCCTAACCACACTCTCCAGCTCTTCCTGGTGGCTCTGAAGGTGTGTCAAGGCCAAATGGGATCTCTAGTCTCTCTGATGAGTTCTGTTCCATCCCCCGGGTTCTCCTCCCGGTTGGGTGTGCCCTGTAAACCTCTAAAGGAAGGCCCCCAGGAGGCAACCTAACCAGATGCCTGAACCACCTCAACTGTCCCCTTTCAACATGAAGGAGCGGCGTTCTTTCCGAGCTCCCTCCTGATGTTTAAACGCTACACCCTAACTCTACGGCTGAGCAACCTCGTTCAACCTCGTTTTTTCGGTCACTACCCAGAGCTCGTGACCACATGTGAGGGTGGGCACGTCGATGCACCCATGATCTGATTATTTATTATCACTACATTACACTTTTATGTATTTGAGTTTTATTTCATTATTTAAAATATGTTATTATTTTTTATTTATTTTAGCATTTATGTTTGATTTAGTTATTATTTACCGGTGACTACATTGTTTTCAGTCCTCTATAACCGAACACACTTTGTCTCTTTGTCTCTTGTGTGTCACAGGTTGTGCCACAACTGTCCTGGTGACCAGCGCCAGCACAGGAGAGATGGTGCTGCAGCTGCTTGTAGGATCGGTAAGAAGTCTCTCAGGACTCTGTGTGAACACATGTCCTATTGTTCCCAGTAATGACGACATTCAACACAATGCTCCATCATTACTGTGGAATAGGTTTCTATGCCACTAATGCATATTTGATAACAATAAATACAAGAAAGCCTGGTGTGGACCTCAGTTCTAACATCATTTTAAAATTGTATCAGCAGTATTCAGGACAATGATGCACTGCCATGAGAAACCTATATTCTGTAGCCACGTTACTCTTTACGGTTAAAACCTCACTCTCTGTATGTGCATGTGTGCATGTGTCCCTCTTACTTCAGATAATCCACAGTCATGGCAGCTACGCATTCCTGTTGTGTGCTACAATATCCTCCTTCCTCAGCTTCTGCTTTTTCCTGCTGCTCATCTATGTCCAGTCCATCTACAGAAACTGCAGCGCAGGTAAACACACACCTGAGGACTGACACTCCGACAACTCTCGGCACTTTGAGTAAAGGCTTCAGAAGCTGTACATGTGTTTCTGTTATAAATGGTGTCACGTTGCAGCAGGAGAAAGTAGCGTATGTTATTTCTTTTGACTGTGAAATAAAGAAATAAAGAAGTGACAGGCCAAACCAAAGCAGGTACACAGTGGATCACAGACACAGCAGCAGCAGCAGCAACATAAGCAAGACAGGTCTGTGTTCTCAAAGAGGAAAAGGGTGTGAAAGGTAATTAAAAGAGACTATTATAGCGGCGTTGTAAGATGTGATGGGTGGAGTGTTGTCTCTGCTTCTTTGCTCTTTCGTCAGTGTCGTAATCAGGGAAAGTGTGTTGGATCTTTTCTCTCCTCGTTAAGATTAGTTTTATTAAGTTACACACAATTGAAATGTACCTTGCTCTCCCTCAGATCACACACACACACAACACATGCATTACAGAGGGAGAGCAGGGCAGCCATTGTACGGCGCCCAAACCCATTTTATCTCATCAGGCTCTGTAGTTAACTGCTCTGTGCTTTTGGAGTGACATGGCTGAAGTTGATCCCAGAGCTATGAATCACAACAAGTAAACACAATGACATTTTATGACAGAGGAAGGCACCTTTAATGATACTATATAAAGATGGAAGTGCGAGGTAAAGATATCAACATCCATTAAGAGTTTTAAACATTTTATTTTTCTGAAATGTTGTGATCATGGCCATCAAGGTTGTCCAGTTAGGAGAAACTGAAGCTCTTTAAGGTCTCTGGTTTGTAACTCAGCAACATGTTGGGGGCAGAGTGCTGCTAGTTCATGTTAGTGAATGTGGACACTGTGTACAACCACCACACACATAAACTATATATGATATTTCCAAAATAGAAACAAAGATTAAGGAAGAATATTGCCACAAATGCAAAAAAGAGCACAAACAACTGTCAAGGTCCCTTAAAATATGCCTGATTTTTCCAGCCAGCATTAGTCCTTGGGAATTCAGTGAAAATGTAAAAAAAAACTCCCTATGTCACAACATTATAGCCATTGAAAGAAAATTCCATAGTCCAGCCTTTGTTTGGATCTGTGCCAAAAGTTCATCTGTTCTTCCCTGACCCATGTCCCACCCTCACGTTTCAAGAAACTCTGTTAAGTAGTTTTTGCGAAAAAAGAAACAACAATGAAAACATAACCTCCATGGCAGAGGTAATAACACCACTTGTGTGTGATGGAGGTCACTGGTTTTTGAAAAACCACAGAGACAAGATCATTATGCAGAAGGGTGGCAATTACATTACATTACATTTATGGGGTCAGAAAATAATTTATTTTCTGAAAGGAGGAAGTCTGATTTCTTTGAGTTTATTTTTCTTTTAGGCTAACCTGCTCTTGTGAGATTTATTTTATTAAAAACAGGAACCAGAAATAGTTTAACCGAAACTAAAGCTTAAATGTGCATCATGATGTGGCTTCATACATAGTTCAATATTAACCATACGATCAGTTCTGCAGGTATCTTTTCAGAATGGAGTTGGTTTGAATACACTATCATGAGAAGACCAATCTGCTCCCAGGACATTTAAAGCTTTATAATATATTTCACTCTTCACAAGAATCCAGATTCATTGGAACTGTAAACAAGAACTCACTGGTTGTGTAGCAGTTAGCAGCTCATGATACAATTATAGATGGACTGGAATATTTGGTAAATGTGACTTTCTCATAAATTTCACAAATCAAAACTTCTCTTCTGATAAGCATTTGTTAGAACACATCGTAGAAAATGTAAGTTTAAATAAGACAATACATATTTAACATAACCTTCATTTTATTGTATTGAGTAGCTTTATTAATTCAATATATCAGCTAAACTAATATGTCCATACTGGTGTCATGGTGTTTGTGATAATACAGCTGTACATACCTCTGATCCAAAGTGACTGCTTCTTCCTAGTCTTAAGTTTGGTTGGTGCAACCAGCCTCAGAATGTTTGGCTTGTGGTTGAACTCCATCAGCAGCAGACTGCATGATGTCAGTATTCAACTGATCAACACTGTTTTTTCTCTCAGAATCCTCTGCAAACATGGACATGACAGAGAAGCCACAGACGGCAGACTCGTGATCTGAGGCTCCGTCAGGGACCAGGGGACACGGTGTGGACAACAAAGAGGGAGAATCGTCTCAGGGAAACTGGCCTCCCCTCATTTCTCCCTTGAGCCAGGACGCAGAGCTGCATCCTGGCCTCCTCCAGCGGAACACTTTTTAAACTAAAGACAGAGACTTCTACTTTCAAGCCTGATGATCAAACAGCAGCTCTACGGATGTGCAATAGCTGAATTCATTTTTGGCACAATCATTTCTTGCAATACATTATAACTCTGCTGCAGCTCGATTCAAAAGACACTTTAATGATTATTCACTTTTTCAGTGTGAATGAAATAAGATTAAGATTGATTGTGGAGGTGAATGTGTTCCTACTGTTAAAACATGACTTGGGTCAGTAAGCAGCAGTGCTGTGGGTTCTTGGTGGTGGACCAGTTTGTTATTATAATAATGCAATGTCATAATAATGTAGTTTATAACTTATGTAAATGTAATGATATGATCACAAATTGAGTATTGATCTATATAAACTCCAGGTTGTGTCTGGAGTCTAATAAGATACAGAGAAACCTCAAAAACGCGCACGCACGCACACACACACACAGGGTAATGACAGAATGGAGTAAATGTGGTCAGTTAGAGATCTTTTATTACTGGTCTCACGTATCTCTTCCATCATAAACACTTCCTCTTAACGTGTCACACATCAATACGCCACTTAAGACAAGTAGCTTGTAAACATTTGAAAAAAGCTTCAAACAAATAGAGAACTGGACAAAACAAAGCGGGAACAATGTCATTTCTTTTTTTTAAAACAAGATTTTACAATTCAAGATAAGCTGAAGGAAAAACACCATCAGAAAATACAAACGAACAAATACGCTGATGACACATCTTGATGGGGGAAAGTTTTAAATGGGCTTCAGGGTTATTTTCCCTCAATTGTTTAGTTCTTATTGCAAAAGTGTAATATAAGCGACCAAATCTTTGGGCTCAAATATAAATTCAAATAAATAAATATTGTGTGGTACTGCCAAATTACAATGAAGGTGAGGTAAACTACATCATATGTGCTGTAGAAGATTAGATTGAACTCTTGTTTTGTGGTATAAAATCTTAAGTGCATAAATGTATCCTCCCTTTGGGAATATATACATTTTTCAATAAGCAAACGTTAACATGTCATCAAATCTGAGTCATAGAAAAGCCACAGAATCCAATACTACAGGAACCCCTACATTTTTAAGTGCAAACGTTTCATCACAACATCTGCATGTACAATATCAACACTATATCAAAACACTTCACATATAAAAACATAGATTTAGATATCTCCCCATAAGGCTTTGATTTCCTTTAAAAAAAAAAAAAAAAA